AGAAAATGGTTAGTGATTTTTTAGAAAACATGAACAAATGGCCCAAAATCACCAGACATTTGAGGAAACCCTCTAAAGTGAAAGAGAAAGACCAAAACAAACAAGCAAACAGAATTAAAGAAGCTGTAAGAAACAGGGACAATGCAAGAAAAACAAGAACACATTTAAAAAAATTATTTAGAAAAAACTGATTAGTATCTTCTGACATGTAAAAATATTTTTATTTATAAAACAATAGGAGCTGGCCCAGTGGCACAGTGGTTAAGTTTGCACATTCCACTTCAGCAGCCCAGGGTTCACTGGTTCAGATCCCGGGTGCGGACATGGCACCGCTTGGCACACCATGCTGTGGTAGGCATCCCACATATAAAATAGAGGAAGATGGGCACGGATCTTAGCTCAGGGCCAGTCTTCCTCAGCAAAAAGAGGAGGATTGGCAGCAGTTAGCTCAGGGCTAATCTTCCTCAAAAAAAAATTAAAAATACAAAATTCAGGGGCCACCCCCATGGCTGAGTAGTTAAGTTCACACACTCTGCTTCAGTGGCCCAGGGTTTCACCAGTTCAGATCCTGGGTGCCGACATGGCACCACTCATCAAGCCATGGTGAGGTGGTGTCCCACATGCCACAACTAGAAGGACCCACAACTAGAATATTCAACTCTGTACTGGGGGGTTAGGAGGAGAAGAAGAAGAAAGAAAAAAAAAGATTGGCAATAGATGTTAGCTCAGGGTCACTCTTTACCAAAATAAAAACAAGAAAACAAAAATATAAAAATCAGAAATGTGATTGGGGAAATAAAAGTTGAATTGAAGAAATAAATTGAAGAAAAATCTCCCAGAAATTAGAACAAAACCAAAAAACAAGAAATGAAAAATAGGGAGAAGTATCAGAAAACCAGAGGATCAATATACAAGGGCCAACAGTGGGTTGGATCAAGAATAAGAGTTACAAAAAGGAGAACAGAGGAAAAGGTGAGGAAGAAATTAAAGACAAAAATAACATAAGAAAGGTTGCCAAAACAGAGGGTGCATCTTCTCTGAAAGGGTTGACTGGGTTCCCAACAGACCTACACTAAGACACATCAGTGTGAAATTCAGGATTCTGCTATTAAAGAGAAGATCCTAAAGCTTCTAGAGTCTAAAGAAGAAAAGAAAATGGCCCCTACAAAGGATGGGGAATAAGAATGACATCAGACTGCTCAACAGCAACAATGGAACCTAGAAGACAGTGGAGGCATAAATGCCTTTAAAATTCTGAGTGAAAATTATGATCAACCTAGAATTCTCTATCAAAACTATCAATCAAGTATGAAGATAGAGTGGATCAGACATCCAAGAATTTTTAAACATTGATCTACCGTGTTCCATTTCTTAGGAAGTTACTGGAGATGTGTTCCACCAAAATAAACAAGTAAATCAAGAAAGAGGGAAACATGAAATTTAGTGAACGGGAGAAGAGAGGAGGTAAGTTCCAGGTTAATATGCAAGCAGGAGGCCTCAAGAGCAACAGTCCGTACTGGGGCAGAGGGAAGAGGATGGGAACTAACATTATCTGGACCATTTGTGTGGATAGTTAGCAAGTGATGCTACGAGGGATTTGTAACACTTGTTGGGCATTTGGGGAAAGTTAGTGATAGGTACATTGTAAAACAAGCAAACGTAGAAAATCAAGACAATTATTCAGTCCAGGAAAAACATAAAGTTGGTCAAGAAAGGAAACCTCATCAGACGAGGCATATTTCATTGATTCTCAGATATACGTTTTTACATTTAACAAGCCTGAAATCAGGCCGTGTCTTTCTGTGGAAGGATCTTACAGTCACTGTCAGCCAGGCTGCATTCCTGATGGAGTTGTCATTGCCTGTGCGGGCGTGAGGTGGGTCATTATTCCCGGTGATCTGACCCGACAACAGCAATCCATTAACATTTCAGTCCACAAACCATTTTAGGATTGAATGAGGAGGGAATATGAGTCCTACTTTGTCAGAAAACCTTCTGTGGACACCTTCTGGCAAGATCAAGAAAGTGCCAGCATCCATACTTGCAGAATGGGGTCAGTAGCTTGGAAGAAAATTCTGGAGACCAGAGTGGAATACTCTGTAAGAACTGCTGCATCACTGACACCCTGAGTGGCTCAAAAAATGATACTCTAAAACAAGCAAGCAAACAAACAAAACCACAAAAAATGAGCACTGACAACTCTGAATAGGAAAGTGATTCAGAAGAGATGAACTCTGAATTCAAAGAAGGTTTAAGAATACTTAATTAATTTTGCTTACATTTTTCTTTTCTGTATGCGCAAGATTGATATATAATAAAAAATGTGTGTCTAGATAAGAGCACTTTCAATAAGTTTACATTAAAAATTTAAGTAATAAAAGAGTTTGGCAGCCTATTTTCTTTCTTAGTGGTTCATATTACAATCAATGCTGTCTTACACTCAGTGAAATCTGGGGTACTATGAACAATTTTTACATATTGATAATAATGTAAATACCAATGTTGACTTTAATTTAAAATATTAAACAATTATATTAAAATAATAAACAGTATGACATAAATATAACAGGAGGATGAGGAGGAGGAGAGTGTGCCTGCTTTGGGGTGGGAGAGAATGGGGATGGGTAAGTGGGAAAAACCTTCACCTCCATAACAGAAAGTCAGAAAATGAGCTCTGAGATTGATATATATTTTTGAAAAATTGGATTCAACATATATAGGGAAACAGCTAAAAGAGCTGAAAGTGGTTGTCCTTGGGAAATGGGGTTGTGGTGCGAGAGGAGTGGGTTGCTGGCTTTTTTTCATACTATTTAACTTTTTCGACTCTGTACACCATTACTTTGAAAAAATCATTTTTAAGGTAAAATAAAAATAAGTAAAATGACTCAAACAAGTCCGCTCTGTGCTGCCATCATTATAAATACACGTATTCTTTTCAGGCCCTGTGTTCTAACTTTTGCTTTGAGAAATCCATGTGCTGTGAGAGGCTGCGGGATGTGACAGAGAGCGCTTAGCTCTGGTGTCAGTTGTCTGGGTTTGCATCTTGGATGTGTTGCCTACTAGCTTTGTGACCTTGGGCAAATTGTTCAACCTCGCTGAGCTTCATTTTTCTCACCTGTAAAATGAGCAAGAGGCTACGTGTTTCACTGGCTGTGGAGAAGATCAAAGAGAGGGGTGTGTCAAGTCCCTGACAGTGCCTGTCCCAAGTTCAGCTCAGTGTAACTTTATCTAACTCCTTTTAACTGTACACACCTGGCCCCCCACCCAAGGGAATACCCACCCCCTTAGGAACAAAGCTGATCCCTTCAAAGTGCCCTGTGCTCAGGGACCCCAAGGCCCCAGCAAGGCCCTTTTGCCTACACAGTCCCCTGCAGCTACCCACGGTTCGGAGCCTTAGGCCTGGACATCTGCAGTGTTTGTGGGTCATTGCTCTTTTCTGCCCCCAGAGGCCCTGAGGTTGCTCGTTTATGTCTCTCTTTCCTCTCACATCAGGCTCAGCCTGGGAGCCAATGGGGCCCTGAGTATGACAATGGCTCCATTCATTGGATGAACCCCATGGCTCTGTGGCCAGAGGCCAGAGGCCATTTGCCTTTCTCTAAGGTCTGGGAGCAGAGGCTTGAGCTCCAGGCCTGGCATGGCAGGATGAACCCAGCCTGCTCGTAGGTCTGATGGAGGCAAACTCTGATGGACCAAACTCATCACCCAGCTCCTGCATCCGGGGTCTGCAGAAGTCAGCCTCACTGTGGCCCTCAAAGCAGCTGTCCTGGGGCTGTGGGTGGGCTGCAGGCTGGAAAGCAGAGAGCAGCCCTCCTGCTCCCTCTCCTGTGCCCCCCTTCCCCTCCCACATCCCAGCCCCTGGAGCTCTGCAGGCAGTGACTTCATGGCTAGAAGGAGCTTTGTTAGAAATTAAAGGCAGGTGGTTTGGCTTTTCCCCCATTTGGCTGGGAGAGCTGCTTGCTCAGGGCTCCCCCTCTCAGGACAGTAGGCAGTTCATGTTTATACATGTGACCCAGAAAGATGAAATGAGCCACACGGCAGGGCTGTTGACGTTGCCTGCATGTGGAGGGTATCACTCCTCCCTCCAGCTGCTCTTCAGAGGCTGGGAGGGATGTCAGAGAGTAGAGACAGAATAGATGGAGGGAAGGGGGGATGCTGGGTGGGGACAGCTCTCTCCTAATGCCATGGGCTCTTAGAAACACGGTAGTGTCCTCTAGGTCCTGGAGTGAAAGCTGCGTCCCCCAGCACTTGACCCCACGATAGAGCATGAGTGATGCTACAAGGGAAACAAGGCGGGAAGCACACAGCACAGAGCTGGGAGGAGGGGGAGCAGTCAAGATCAGGGAAGTCTCGGGCCCTTGAGACAGTGGGTAAAGAGGACAGACACAGACCTTGGAATCAGGAGTGTGGGTTCCCTTCACTGCTCTACCATGTACCGGCAGCAAGTCACAAAGAACCTGAGCTGCTTCATCTGTTAAGAAAAATGAAACCACTTTGCAGGGCTGTAATGTGAAAATTCAACAGCTCTCCTGTCTCTGAGGTTTGCAAAATCTAGCCTTTCCTCCCTCCCTGCCCCCTACTCATTGGAGGGACATCTGGCACATAATGGAGGCACATTTCCTGTCTTCCACTTAGGGTCTGGGGGGTCCCGAAGGCCCTTCTTCGCCACTTCCAGCTCCCTGGCTAACCCGGGGACGGGAGGATTGGAGAGGTCCTAGGCCAGAGCTGCATGGGGATGACGCGGCCCGAGGGAGTTGTTACTCCAGGCCTCCCCTGGCCCACGCAGGCAAGGAGGGTGTTGGACTGAGGAATGTCCACTCCTTAAAGGTCCCTGGGTCAGGAGAGCTGACTGCCCTCTGCATCCACATGGACGTAGTGAGAGGAACCCTTACCTGCAGGCTGTCATTGACCCTTGCCTAGCTTCCTGTCCACTCCAGACTCGGCTGCTGCCTGCCCTGGTGGTGAGAGGCACAGCTCATGATGTCTGTGTGCTCCTCCCACAGGCCACAGAGTGGGCCTCCAACGAGGACACGCGCCGCTCCTGCCAAAGCAAAGGGAAGACTGAGGTACGTGCCTTGGTGGTCCAGGGGCCTGGCTTGGACCGGCAAGAGGCTTGTGCTTGTGCGGATGGAGGGGCCCCCTGTGGGCACAAGGGCACCTGTGTGAGAGGCCCAGCCTGGAGGAGCTGGGGGCTCCTGGTGCAGGTGACGATGCAGCTCTGAGCATTTGAAGGGCAGTGATGCAGTGAGAGGGCCTGGGAGGGAGGTGCTGGGGAGGAGATGTCCACAGATGCACCCTGGAGTTCAGAGCAAGGTGGGTTTGGGGCAGAGGGGGGTGTTCGTATGTTTGTGGTGTGAGAGAGACACCCAGTGCCATGCTTGGACAGCGTGGCCCTCTTTTACTGCCCCTTCTTTCTTCAGGAGGAGTGTCAGAACTATGTGCGAGTCCTCATTGTCGCTGGCCGGAAAGTGTTCATGTGCGGGACCAATGCCTTCTCCCCGGTGTGCTCCAGTAGACAGGTGGGGCCCTCGGGGTGGGGCAGGCAGAAGGGGCCACCAAGAGGTTCTCTTGCCCAGGCACATGACCTGGGAATGGGGTTCCCAAACTTAGCAAAAAAAAAAAAAAAAACCCACCCAAAAACAAAAACAAAAAAAGATATCCAGTTAGATTTAATTTCAGATGAATAGCAAATGATATTGTAGCATAAGTATGTCCCACCCGAGATTTGAGACATACTTCTACTAAAAAATTATTCATTATTCATCAACATTCACATTTAACTGGGACTGCTGTATTTTATCAGTGAATCTTACCTTGAAGGGTCCTGATCAGGGGGCAGGGGCCAGAGGCAGACGGGGCTCCTGACACAGCCTCCCCCCTCCCTGAGGGCTGCTCCACTATGGGGTGGGCAGTGAAGAGGAGGCTGGAGAGGGGGAGGCCCAGAGAGACCAGGGGCCCAGGAGGAGACAAAACTCTGGGGTGGAAAAAACAGGCAGCCCCTGGGCCTCAGGGAAAGGTGCCCCCATCTCCCCGTCATCCCCAGGTGGGGAACCTCAGCCGGACTATGGAGAAGATCAATGGCGTGGCCCGCTGCCCCTACGACCCGCGCCACAACTCCACAGCTGTCATCTCCTCCCAGGGAGAGCTCTACGCGGCCACGGTCATCGACTTCTCGGGTCGGGACCCCGCCATCTATCGCAGCCTGGGCAGTGGGCCGCCGCTCCGCACTGCCCAGTATAACTCCAAGTGGCTCAATGGTAAGGAAGCCCAGCCCCAGGGGTGGGGGCTCCCCTGGTTCTGCCCCAGCCAGCACCCCCTGGTCCCCATTTGTCCTTCTTCCTGCCCAACCTCTGAAAGGGCTCCACTTGCTTCATCAAGAGGCCCTGAGTGGGGCAGATGTTTGCCCAAAGACCACAGCAGGTCGGAGACGGCCTCCAGATGAAATCATAGATGTCCTGAGCATCCAGAGCAGATGGGGGGGGCCAGCTGGGAGGGGCGAGAAAGAGTTAGGAATTGATTAGGAGAAAAAGTTATGGGAAAGAAGGGATTAAGGGAGGGTGGTATGAGTTTCTTGCCCTTTGCAGTTGAATCCCTGCTTCTCCACTGACTAGCTGTGTGGCCCTGAGCAAGTACTTGACCTCTCTGTGCCACAATGTTCTCATCTGTAATATGGGGAGAATAATAGCACTTGCCTCAGAGGTTGTTATGGGGATCAAATGGGCTGACCCATATAAAGTACTTACAATAGTGTCTGCTCACAGTGAGTGCTCAGTAATGCACATTCACAATTATTATAACTGCACTTTGTCTTGGAGGTGGGGACAGGTTAGTCAGAGCCCCCAGGTCACCAAGCTGGCAGGGGGATGGCAGGATGCCCATCTGGGAAAAGGGAAGTAGTGGAGTACTCTCAACTCTGCCCCCTTCCTCCCTCCTGGCCCGACCCACCCCTTCTTCCTCCTCTACCCCTCCAGAGCCAAACTTCGTGGCAGCCTATGACATCGGGCTGTTTGCGTACTTCTTCCTGCGGGAGAACGCAGTGGAGCATGACTGCGGGCGCACCGTGTACTCCCGGGTGGCCCGCGTGTGCAAGAACGACGTGGGGGGCCGCTTCCTGCTGGAGGACACGTGGACCACGTTCATGAAGGCCCGGCTCAACTGCTCCCGCCCCGGCGAGGTCCCCTTCTACTACAATGAGCTGCAGAGTGCCTTCCACCTGCCCGAGCAGGACCTCATCTACGGGGTCTTCACCACCAACATGTGAGTCCCCGCCCACCCCCACCCCTCCCCCCACCTCGCAGGCAGTGGGGTCAGGCAAGTCCCTCTCTGAGCCCTTGTTCCTCTTTCTGTCAAATGGGGATTGCTGTGCCCTCTGCGCAGGGCCGTCTGAGGGTTTTGTGACTTGCTGCCTCTGGAGTGGGAAGCACTTGTTCTGGGTTGCTGTGATGGGCAGGCCTAGGCCAGCTGTGGAGGAAATCAAAGCAGCTGGACTCTGGCTCGGTAGAGGAAGGACGTGCTGGTGATGGAAGTGAGATAGGCTGCCTTGGATGGGGGATGGCTGCCCCCGGAGGGTCTGGCAGCCCTTTGTGGGCAGGCTCAGAGGGAGTTCTTTATGGTCCCTCCTACCTCAGGACTCCAGGGTCCTGCTAAACCTAACCAGCAGGGTCTTCTGGCAGTCCTGACTGCCTGAGGAACACGGGCTGGCATTAGAGCTCCTTTTGGGTAAGGAAAGGTAGCCTTACACCTTTAGGTGCAAGGAAGGGTAGCCCTCAAGGAGACCATGAGACCCTGCTCCCACCGCCTCCTTCTGTGTGAAGCTGGCCTGATCAGGCAACTTTGGTACAGAGAAGGCTGAATGGGCAGCAGAGACCAAGGAGCGTATTTGTTGTACAGGGTGCTGGGCAGGGTTCTTTGTAAGGACCTCAGAAACGTATGGGCCCTAAAGTGGGGTTTGCCTACCTTGGGCCCCAGGTAGCAGGCACTGGATGAGGGCCAGGCTCATCCTGTCTGAGGGGATGGACAGGGATGAGAGTAAAGCTGGGAAGCAGCAGCAGAGAGGCCATCCAACCTAGCGGAACAGACATGCAGCACAGCCGACACGGGCCATGAACTGATAGCCAGGACTTAGCAAACCAGCCCGGCGGTCAGCACCAGAAGGTGGGCAGCTGTGAGCAAATGGCAGGAGCTGCTGGAGAGGGATCAAGGGAAAGTGATGACATGAGTGTGGATTGTAAATGCCAGGTGCTCCATGCCAGGTGCTTGTCATGGTGTCGGGGGCAGGGGGAAGGATACCAGTGAGCAAGAGCAGACCTGGCTCTGCTCTTAAGGAGCTTACGTTCTAGAGAGGTTGGTTATTAAACGCCCAGTCTCAACTCTGATAAATGCTACAAAGGGAAAAGGCAGTGTGCAAAGACCCCTCTACCAGTATGGAGGGGTGGTGATCAGGGAAGGCTTCCTGTAGGAAGTGACATCTACAGGATGAGTGGGAATTAACTAGGGGAGAGGAGCATTCCAGCCAGAGGGAACAACATGCACAAAGCTTTGGGGTGGGAAGAAACATTTGAGGCACTGAGTGGAGACCAGCCTGCCAGGAGCCTGGAGGGTGAGGAGGAGAAAGACAGGAGAGGAGGCTGAAAGGTCGGCCAGAGAGGATTCTGTCCTGAAGGCCTTGTAGACTGCTTGAAGGGTTTTGATCTTTATCCTAAGAGCAAGGAGAAATTATTGAAGGGCTTGAAGCAGGCCAGAGATTAGCACAGATGTGCATTTTGAAATGCTCGCTCCAGCTGCTGTGTGGAGAATGGATTAGAGGACTAGTCAGGCTACAGGGAGACCAACCAGGAGGACATGCAGCATCCGGGGTCGGGGGGGAGGTGAGACCAGGCAGTGGGGGGAGAGAAATGGACACACTGGGGAGAGCGACTCTGAGCAGAGAACAGACCCGGAAGCATTTGGTGTAGTGGTGTCCTCTCTCAGCTGCTCGCATCACGCCCATAGAAACATCGGGTTCAGTCACTGGGAGGGGTCTGCAGTTCTCTGGCTCAGGGTCCTGAGGGCTGCAGCATCGATCAGCGGTTTGGTAGCCAGCTTTTTAAAAAGTAAAATAAATAAAACAGAGTAGACTGGAATGAAAATATCAGAGGTTAATGTATTTAGTAAGGGTAAGTATTGTTTCATGAAAATTCATCACAGGTGTGTGTGTGTGCATGTCTGTGTCAGTGATACCGAGTTGTATTATAAAATGCATTTCTTACAGCGGGTCAGGGACTAAATGTTTGCAAACCGCTGACTTTATTTGAGCCTCCCACTGGGTTAGGGAAGGGGATGAGGAAGGAGCACAGGAGGAGGCACCAGTGCTTCTCATCAGAGGGTCTTTCTTTCCCACAGTGTGAGGACCATGTCTCCTCCTCCTGTGACACCCCTTATGGTGCAGAAGGCGCCAGGCTCATCACAGGTGCCTGCGCCTTGGAGCTGGGCCATGCTGTGGCTTGACAGCCAGCTGTGGGATTTAAGGGGAGGGTGGGAGGCCTCCAGGGAGGGCAGCATCCCACCATCGCTTGCCTTTCAGAAACAGCATTGCCGCTTCTGCCGTCTGCGCCTTCAACCTCAGTGCCATCTCCCAGGCTTTCAATGGCCCGTTTCGCTACCAGGAGAACCCCAGGGCTGCCTGGCTCCCCATCGCCAACCCCCTGCCCAATTTCCAGGTACAGCTTCTCCTCCCTTTTCCCTCTCCCCACACACGGCTTTCCCCCAGACTGCTGACCACAAGCCAGTTCCCAACTGCTTAGCACAAACACCAAACCTGTCACTGCTGGTCTACGCCCATCTGTGGGGTCTGTGCTGGTCCTCTAAGAGGGCGAGGAACCTCTAAGACTGTGGGGGGAGAAGGGGAGAGTGGGTGGGAGGCAGAGCAAGGGAGTATGCTCTGAGCCATCTCCAAATACGACCTCACACCAGGGAGGCAGGGAGGTGCGTCCTCAGCTCTACTCAGTGTAGAGGACTGAGCACACATGAGCTGTCTGGCCAGAACTCCGGGATTTTAGCTGGAGTTTGCTTGCAGTCTACCCAGCACAGGTGCTAATGCCTGGAGGGTCTCTGAGTGCCAGGAGTGCTTAGGGCCCAGCCAAGGATGGTGTGATGGAGAAGTAGAAAGAGCCATGGGGCAGAGAAAGCTACTGATGGTGGACTTTCATATCCATCCAACTTCCTGCCCAGGCGGCAGTATGGAGCCGGGAAAGACGTCAGGCTCTGCAGTCTGACAATCCTGACCCAGATCTAGGCCTCTGGCTGTGTGACCTTGGGCAAGTCTCTCAGCCTCCTTGAGTCTCTTTTTCCTTATCTGGAACGTGGAGAGTATACCACTGACCTCAGCGATGTAACAGGTTCCTGGAATGCAGTAGGTGCTCAATAAATGGTGGTTGCATTCTAGCTTCCGTTTAGACAGCATAAGAGCTTTGAGCTGGTAGGGACACAGGAGAGGGAAGGCAGGGGTTAGCCCAACATGTGGGAGAGGCACCCACCGCACCAGCATAAGATCACAGGACGCTTGTTATCCACACTGGAGTGATCTGTTTTAGATAACTCAGCCCCCTGTCATCTCCCCTCCTCTTCCCCAGCCCTGGCAGTTCCCTCCTCCCCCATCTTCCCAGCCTCATTTTCCCTTAGTTCCCAAAGAAGAGGCACCTCTCCCTTGGAAGTGGGTGCAGGGGACCAAGCAGGGATGTTGGGGATGGAGGGGACTGGAGAATCAGAGTCTGCCGTGGCCACCTGGGTTACGGTGAGGAAGGAGGGGCGCAGGGGATGGTGGCAGCCGGGCGGCTGGGCACGCGTGACCCCGCTCCCCGTGGCAGTGTGGCACCCTGCCGGAGGTGGGCCCCAACGAGAACCTGACGGAGCGCAGCCTGCAGGACGCCCAGCGCCTGTTCCTGATGAGCGAGGCCGTGCAGCCGGTGACACCGGAGCCCTGTGTCACCCAGGACAGCGTGCGCTTCTCACACCTCGTGGTGGACCTTGTGCAGGCCAAAGACACGCTCTACCACGTGCTCTACATCGGCACGGGTGAGCCCGCCCGCCCGGCCTGGGCTCTGGGTGGGAGGAGGTTGAGGGGCGGGGGCTGGGCTGCCAGCTCCGGGGCCTTCAAGGCCACCCTCCTCTGGCCCCTCCAGAGTCGGGCACCATCCTGAAGGCACTGTCCACGACGAGCCGCAGCCTCCGCGGCTGCTACCTGGAGGAGCTGCACGTGCTGCCCCCCGGGCGCCGCGAACCCCTGCGCAGCCTGCGCATCCTGCACAGCGCGCGCGCGCTCTTCGTGGGGCTGAGCGACAGCGTGCTGCGGGTCCCGCTGGAGCGCTGCGCCGCCTACCGCAGCCAGGGGTAAGCGGGCGGCGGGAGGGCCTCCCTGGGCTTTCCCCCCACCCCGCGTCACAGTTCGGAGGTGGCGCTTAAGAGGTGGAGCTTTGGAGGCAGGTCAGCCCGGGATGGCATTCTGGCGCAGCCTCCAGCTCTGTGCTTTTGGACAAGTCACTGAACCTCTCTGAACCTCAGTTTCCTCCTCATAAAATCTTTGCAGGGTTTTTGTGAAGGGTAATTGGGGTAATCTGCACAAACCACTTATCACTGCCTGGGGGGAGGATGTGCTTAGCAAAGGGTGGTGGCTGGTGTGATCCCTGCTGTCAACCCCACAGTCAGGTCCTGTCAGCTGTCTCTACCCCACTTGACTTATTCTCCGTCCCTTCAGTTCAGAGAGCTGTCTTCATCTTTGAAACCACAGCACTTGATACCCAGATGTAGGGGCAGATGGGAGGTGATGCCCTGAGTCAGCCCCCAGTTTTTGCCCCTCTTCCTTTCTTGGAAGAGGCAGAGGCCTGGCTTGGGTGGGGTGGAGGTGAGGAGCCATGTGGAGACATTGCATTCACTTTCTATCCACTTCTGAGGTCAGTTCTCCATACCTTGGCTTCAAGTGGATTCCCCACTTGGTGACCATGACACTGGCACGTAAGAGGGAAATGAAGGCCTGCGCCAAAGCCAAATGGAAATGTTCCTCAGCCTCCTTCCACGTGAGGCACCCCCGAGGGGCACGCCCTCATTTTTGAGATAATCAAAAGCTGCCTTTAGCGGGCATAGCCACAGCCACACGGGCTCCTGTCGCCTTTGCAATACAAGAGACCTCCTGGCTGTACCCACCTGTCCTCAAGATTTGGGAGACAAATGGTACCCCTGTTACCAAGGGGTGTTCTCCAGCCCCAGTGGGGCGTGCTGGGAGCAGGGTGGAGGCCTGAAAGCCAGGGAGAGGCTGGATGGTCACGGTGTGGCAGCCCGTGGGGGGAGGAGTGGGAGGAGGCAGTGGGCAGACACTCAAGCTCCCCTCAGCCCCAACACATGGCTCCATCAGCAAAACACTAAACATTTACGATGCCTGCCGTGCTCAGAGCACCGGGCAGGGCTGTCGGTGTGAGAGGAGGGAGGCGAGATGAAATAGGTTTAGAACACCCCGTCTCCCTCGGAGCTCTAGACGCCGTGCCTGGATCTGACATGCGGGGAGAGACAGTGGGGTATAGTGGGAGGGACCCCTGGTGTTCCACCTCAGCTCCATCATCCACCAGCTCTGTGATCTTGAGCGAGTTACTTAACCTTTTGGGCTTCAGCTTTCTTACTTGGAAAACTGGGGGAAATTCTGATGGAGCAAACGATATTTAATCTCAGCAGAGTTGTTGTAAGGATTGGGAATAACATTCACGAAGTGCCTAAGCCGGCGAGTCGTGAGTGCTAGCTAGTGTCCATATTCCTTTTTTATCTCCACACCTGCATTCAGCTCCCTCCAGCCTCCTGGGTTCTCTGCGGTCTCAGCATCTGTGACATTGAATACAGACAGCACTGCTTGGCAGTGAGTCACGGGCCACCTGCTGACGGCATTTCCCCCGTATCTTGTATTCTTCAACTCTTGTGTTGTTACTAAACTTTTCGCGTGTGCCTTGTTCTCCAAGAGGTTGTAAATCCTTGAAGGCAAGCTCAGTGTCCCAGGGTTTTTTGTGTTCCACCAGGGGGCCATGCCCAGCCCAAGGAACAAAGTGGCCTTCCACACATGACTGCTCCTTCAGTTGATTGAGAGGAGGCTGGTGCTGGAGACGAGTGGTGAATGGGAGTGGAAGGTGGACTGAGGCCAGCTGAGCGTGCCAAGGGAGGATTTCGACTTGAATCCTGTGACTGTAGGCACTGACGCAGTCTTTGAGCAGGAGAGTGGAGTGACAGGCAGTGTGAATAGGTGTTTTACAAAAATCAGTCAGACAGTGGCGAGCAGCATTGTCGTGGGGCAGATGGCTGGTCAGCGTGAGCTAGTGTGGCTCCAGGCCAGATATGAAGTAATGGGGTCTGCAGTGGAAGGAGAGGAAGGAAGATGCAGGGATATTTCCCCACTCACATGACGCTGCAGAGGGGACAGCGAGGTTGCGTAGCGTGGCTGTGAATCTTCCACCTAGGGCCAGGTGGAGCAGCAAGGTGGAAGGAGGTCATTTTGGAGCAGATTCTTTTGTCCTACTTGGTTTCCTTAGTTTGGAATAAGAGCCCTTAATGTGTGCAGTGAAAACCCTGCCATAAAGCTGTAGGTAGATCTAAAAATATAAAACGTGAAGTCATATTAATAAAATGACCAGAGTCAGCTGGTGCAGCCACCACACTGTGCACCCTGGGAGTCTGGGAGCCAAATGCCTATCACACTGTATCAGAATTTGTGCTGTTGTGGGGTGGATTGTCACAGGGTTTTACTGTTTCCTAGGATAGACATTTCATGCTCTTTTCCTCCTTTCTTTCAAAGCTGGCAGGAGGATGAGAGTGGGTAAGCAGAGGCCCCTTCAGGCCCCCAACGCTGCCCAGAATTCAGAGGCTTGTCTCCAGCGCCCTCCTTTCACTCGGGCAAGTCTGAGCCCACATGGGGCACGACCAGGCCCCCGGCCTGGCCGGAGAGAGACCAGGGCCACAGGAGGAGGAGCAGAGAGTGAACCACTGACTGGCTCTGGAAAGCAGATGTTCTATGCATGACCTGCCTCTTCCTCCTTCCAGCATCCTTTCACACTGCCCCTGGGGGAGAGGATTCTCTGTCCCAGCTCACTCAGGAAGGTGGCTCAGCCAGTATCTCCTCCTGACCTCCCGCCTTGGCAGGAGGCGTTGGCCTGCCTCTGCTGCCATCTTAGGTAGTGGCCGCTGGCTCCCAACTTCCACCCTGGACAGCTCCCTGTGTGAGGCTTTTGCTGTGTGGTATTGGAATCCGCCTGCTTGCAACTTCCGCCATCCATCTCCGTCCTGCCTCCGAGCCCATAGAATGAACCTGTTCCCTTTGTAATGGCTGCTTGCAACACTGCAGTAAAAAGACATGGTGATGTATTCTTGGTCTGGTGGCTGCTTTTATGAAAGGAACTCGAAACGGCCACCCATTCCTGCTGTCAGAGACACGCTTTAACTCTCCTCTGCTTGGAGCTTTAATTTTCTTAAGAACGTTCCCTGCTCTGTAAGCTTTGCAGTGGCTGTTGGCCAAAAGCAGCCAATGTGGATATGCACCAGAAGAGAGAGCTCAGGCACTGGCCCCAAGGCCCCTCAGGCAGCCAGGGCCAGGGGCAGGGGCAGGGCCAGGGCAGGAGCAGGCCAGGGTGTCCATGGAGAATCTGGTCTCCTTTTTCTCTGGGAGAACCAAGAGGCTGAGAGGGTGAGGGAGCCTGAGGGGGGGTTGGGGCTGGGGCCAGCATCTACTCTGCGTTTTTCTTCCCTCCTTTTTTATTCTGTCATGGATTGGAAAGACAAGGCCCTTCATCTCTCGGCTAGGGAACCCTGACAAAAGTGGCCCTGGGAACAGCAGTTCTCGGCCATGCCGTTCGTGAAAATCACCTGGGGAGCGTTTACAAGATTCCGGTGCCTGGGCCTACTCCAGTCTGAAAGGCCCTGAGATTGGTGGGTTTATCTGTTTGGTTTGCCTAAGCTTTTAAAGATCCCCAGGCGATTCTAATCCACGGTCTAATTGGCAGGAAATTACTGCTCCAGAACTGGCTAGGCCCTACATGAAAGGAGTAGCATGAAGCAAATTCCATTCTTCCGGAATCTTCTGCTTTTGTCTGGTATGAGCCAGTTCAAATTTTCTGCTCTTACCCATTTTCTCCACTGGCAGACATTTGTTTTTGATGGAGAGAATCTTATTTATTATTATTATTAATCACTAGTCATGGCTAGTTCTTTTTTTTTTCCCAGTTAATTTATGTTGCTTATAAAATGCCATATCAGCCGCTTCTAGGGTTTGATACCCTTTCTGAGAGCTGAGGAAATACACTCGGGAGTGGGCTACACTGAGTTCTGGTTGGTGGAATTTGCAAGCAGCCCGTTTGATCCAAATGTCAGCCAGTGAGCAGAGTCTCAAAACCACAGGTGGCTGGGACTACTTTTACACGTGGCTTGTATTTAGTTCCATAATGTCTAGTTTGATGCATTCTGCTGGTGGAACACCCCCAAATCAAACCCTCAATCCCAGATGGAAGGACCAGCACACTTATATTGTACAATCGACACAGATTGATTGTCCTTGAGTGAATAGAGTGGGAACAGATTCTCGTGCAACAGATGAGTGTTTTGGGTTTCCGGGGGGCCAGAGTGTGCTCACTGGGGTCCAGCGAGGCCCTCACCCACTGAAACCCCCAGCATCACCTCCCTTATACGAGGTCATGGGTTGCCCGAGCAAAGGACAGCATTGTTTTCTTTGATCTCATCTGGTGACAAGGGGAAGCCCCACCCTCTTCTTGGTAAGGTCTCTCCTATAACCTCTTTTCTCTCTGGAGGCTGACATGGTCTGTCAAACTCACTGAAAATAAAAAACTCACCTGACAGGTGACTCTCCCTGACGCTTCAAGAGGAGACAACAAAAGGGGCAAGCCATGGCTCTTTGTGTATCCCTTTAGCCTTTGGCATCCTTGATCCCTTTGGCCAATGGAAACTGCCTCTGCAGCCTCATGTCATGGCCCAGACTCCCCCACCCTCTCTGCAGTCCAGCACCTCCCTCACCCAAAGCCTCTCCTGCTTTCTAAGCCCAGTTTCTGCCTCCGCTCTCAGCGCTCTCTCTAGACCCTCTCCAGCAGGCCCGTGGCTGTGGAGCAGCCAGGCCTTGTCAGAGGGGGTGGAAGTTGGGGAATGAGACAGAGGGGATCCAGGGTATCTCTGGGGTTGGCAGTGGGTGTTCTGGGTGTTAGAGGGAACTTCCTTCAGGCTCCAGAATCTGGACAGCAAATCCCGATTCCATAATTCCCTACTCCTTTTCTCCTCCTTGAAATCTTACTAGTAGGGATTTATTTTAAGAACTGTAAAGAATACAGTGAACAAGTTGGAGGAGAGAGGGAAGAGAAGAGCCCTTGAATGTGAGAAGTGGAGGCAGTGGGAGCATGCCTCGGTGTGTAAACATCACCTTTTCTGGGTCATTGCAGAGAGCAGCCCTGAGGGCTGGGGTAGGGAGACCAGGATGTGGCCCCTCTCCTGGCAGCCTGAGCTCATTCTCATGATGCTAACAGACTGGACTCTGGCTCCTGCCACTGAAGAGCATGAGCATGGGGATGCCCCAGCTGACCCAGGACTAGGCCCAGGTGTCCCTGACCCTGCACCTGTGTTTGAGGTCTGGGCCCACGTTCACTCAGTGTGTGAAGTCAGACACAGGCCCCAGCTGGGAGGCAGGAGCAGGAGGGGAAAATCGTGGTGGGGAGTCTGGGTGCCAGCCCCAGCTCTGCCGTGGACAATCTGTGTGATCTTGGGGAGCTCCTCTTCCCTTCTCCGTGACTGTTTCTTCCCTTGTAGAATGAAAAGATGGAATTACGGATCCCAGGGATTCTCAGCCTCACTCCCATTAGAATCACCCAGGAGCTTTTAAAAACTTCCCCACCCCCAGAGATTCTTGTCTGGGGTGGACCCAGGCATCAGTATTCTTTAGAAGCTCTTTTAGTGATTCTAACGTGCAGCCAGGGTTGAGAAACAATGGGCAAGATCATCTTTAAGACCTTTCCATCACTAATGTTTTATGACTCCATCATCATAGTGCCTGACGGGAGGCACGACTCTGAATTTCTGTCCACCACATCTTCTGTGGCCCTAGATGAGGAGTGTGGGGCACCCAGACTCACAGAAGGCGGTACAGTCTCTTGGTTAAGTGTGTGGGCTCTGGAAAGCAAGGGTCAGAGTCCGTGGTCAGCTGTCTGGGTTTCCTTTATATTACTGGGATAATAACAGTACCTTCCTCTTTGGGTTGTTGTGTTAAGTTAATTCATGCTTGGAAAGTGCTTAAAATGATGCCTGGCACACATGAGTGCTCAATGAACTTAGTATTATTGGGGAGGAGAACTGGATGGAAAGGGGTACCCAGAGAGGAGTGTTCAGGTGTGTTCTTGGGTTGCAGGTGAGGCTGGGAGGCCAGTGGGCTTGAGTCTCAGGACCTCTGTCTGGCAGGGCATGCCTGGGGGCGCGGGACCCATACTGCGGCTGGGACGGGAAGCAGCAACGTTGCAGCACGCTCGAGGACAGCTCCAACATGAGCCTCTGGACCCAGAACATCACAGCGTGTCCTGTGAGAACCCGTTCATGCCCCCCACCCAGGACCTCTCCCCCCAGTGCAGGCTGTGACTCCCCATCAGTTTCCCCATATCCCCTGGGACCTTGTGTCTTCCCTACCCCTGCTTTGTGTGACAGGTCGTGCCCCGTGTGTGTCTGCAGGTGCGGAACGTGACTCGGGATGGGGGCTTCGGCCAGTGGTCACCATGGCAGCCATGTGAGCACTTAGATGGGGACAACTCTGGCTCTTGCCTGTGTCGGGCCCGAGCCTGCGACTCCCCCCAACCCCGCTGTGGGGGCCGCAACTGCCTGGGGCCTGCCATCCACATCGCCAACTGCTCCAGGTAAGTGAGGATACAGGGCTTGCTGGGTGGCCTGGAGTAGGAAGAATAGAGGAAATGGGGCATCCCCAGCCACATGTTTGCACTAAGGGACAGAAACCACTGAAGGGCTGTGCAGAGGACTGGCTAGGCGGCTACCATCTGAGGCAGGAAACATGAGCCCTGGGGGAGTTTCCACTCTAGTGGGAGAGAAGTTTCTGCCTTGTGACGGCTCTTGGTACAAAGAGGAGGTCTGGACAGGCCTGAGAGTCACCTGTAGACAACCATTGCCTCAACGAGCCTTGTGGTCGCAAACATGAGGGACAGCATGGATGGTGGTAAGGCAGGCAGACCTGGTACCAATCCTGGATTGCTACTGTCTAGATGTGTGACTTTGGCCAAGCCACCTAACCACTCTGAACTCGAAGTAAGGGTTACAGTACCCACCCCAAGGGTTGTTGGGAGGGTTATATCAGATACTACATATAAAGCGCTTGCACACTGCTTAGTACCTGGGGACTCCATAAAGTGGTTATAACAACTAACCCATAATTCTAGACACTCTTAAAGTAACTTAATTCTATATGCATTTAATAATTTAACTGTCACAAAAACCTCATGGGGTAGGAATACAATCACATCCTTACTTAGATAAGAGTACGATGAGGCACAGAAGGTTTTGGAAACATGCCCAGGTTTATAGAGCCAGTTAAGTGGTAGAGCCAGAATCTGGAAATGGGAGTCAAAGTAGACAAGAGTGAGTGGTGTCTGAGGTTCAAGCAAAGCACGTGCAGGGATAGAAGAGGGAGAAAGAGCACGGGTTTGAGTTCAAGGTTCAAACAAAAGTTGCAGGGTGGAAAGGCCACTGGGGCCTTCTAGAGAATGTGTCCTTTTGCTCCTGGAAGTAGAGGCCGTGTCCTCTCTCTGTGCCCTTGCCCTGAGCACGGCCTGTTGTATGGAGGAAGGCTCTCGAAAAATAAACAAACCAATGAATGAGTCTGCCTAAGATGGCTTCACTGATATTTTGTGTGTCACGGCCTGAACTTCCTTACGACGTAAAATCCATCTGCGCCGATGGAGATTAGATCTGAGAAGCTAGGACTCAGAGGGTCATCTGTCTCTGTCCCCTCCGACCCCCCAGGAATGGGGCGTGGACCCCGTGGTCGTCGTGGGCCCTGTGCAGCACGTCCTGCGGCATTGGATTCCAGGTCCGCCAGCGAAGTTGCAGCAACCCTGCTCCCCGCCACGGTGGCCGCATCTGCGTGGGCAAGAGCCGGGAGGAGCGGTGAGCCCCCGTGTGGCTGGAGGTTTCTGAGACGAGCTAGCCCTGAGGTCGCAGACTTTCCCGGCCCCCTAGAAAGTGGCCTGGATTCTCCGGGTGATCCAGTGGACTCTCGTTCTTCAGTCTTGGACTCCCAGTGACCTCTTGTTAGGGAAGGGGTGCCTGCTCCCTAGGGTGATGACTCCCCCACCTCCCTCCAGGTTCTGCAACGAAAACACGCCTTGCCCGGTGCCCATCTTCTGGGCCTCCTGGGGCTCCTGGAGCAAGTGCAGCAGCAACTGCGGGGGTGGCGTGCAGTCGCGGCGGCGGTCCTGCGAGAACGGTGACTCCTGCCCGGGCTGCGGCGTGGTGAGCGCCGGGTGGCGAGAGGGCGCGGGCGGGGCGCGGGCGCGAGCATCTCCGGCCAAGGGGAGGGCCGGCCCGGGGTCCGCGAGGCTGCGAAACAGCCCCCGCTCCCATCCCGAAGGAGTTCAAGACGTGCAACCCCGAGGGCTGCCCCGAAGTGCGGCGCAACACGCCCTGGACGCCGTGGCTGCCGGTGAACGTGACCCAGGGCGGCGCGCGACAGGAGCAGCGCTTCCGCTTCACGTGCCGCGCGCCCCTGCCCGACCCCCACGGTCTGCAGTTCGGCAGGAGGAGGACAGAGACCAGGACCTGCCCCGCCGACGGCTCGGGAGCCTGCGACACCGACGGTACAGCCCTGCATCCTCCCCCCACCCCCCCTCCCAGGCCCAGAACGATGGGGCGGGGGTAGGGGAGCCCGGGCGCGGGGGCTCCCGGTGGCCCCGACGCGCGGTTTGGAAGAAGGTGGGCGTGGGGGACCGCTGGGCGGCTCCGTCGCTGAGCCCGGTCACCCCACCCACCCGCCCACCTGCAGCCCTGGTGGAGGATCTCCTGCGCAGCGGGGGCACCTCCCCGCACACGGTGAGCGGGGGCTGGGCCGCCTGGGGCCCGTGGTCGTCCTGCTCCCGGGACTGCGAGCTGGGCTTCCGCGTCCGCAAGAGAACCTGCACGAACCCGGAGCCCCGAAATGGGGGCCTGCCCTGCGTGGGCGATGCCGCAGAGTACCAGGACTGCAACCCCCAGGCTTGTCCAGGTGACCTTGTGCTAAGGAGTTTTGGCCTAGGGAAACCCCCGCCCAGGGAACCCCGTCTAAGTGACCCCACCAGGCCACCTCTCCTGTCCCGTGACCTCTTCTCTCTGTCAGCTCCGTACAAGGGGCGCCAGAGCAATTTTTTGCCCTGAACATGGACAGAGCAGCTACTCCTGTGGACCTGGGCCTTTTCTCACCTTCCTTGTCACTTTTTTCTCTCCTTTATTGGGTTAGCCAGATAAGGAGCTTGAGTTGAGGTGTAGTTGGTTTTGGATGTCTCCTCGCAGCCTGCATTTCCCCTGCCACCCCTGAGGGGATGGGGGCACTCCCGAACAGTGGGCTGTGGGGGTGGGGCCCAGGGCAGAGGGGCCTAGCCTGGGGTGGGGAAGAAGACGTCTTGGGCCCTGCGTGCACCTGTGGCCCACTTTACACACCCCGTCGCCTTGCAGTGCGGGGCGCCTGGTCCTGCTGGACCTCATGGTCCCCATGCTCAGCCTCCTGCGGTGGTGGCCACTATCAACGCACACGTTCCTGCACCAACCCCACACCCTCCCCAGGCGAGGACATCTGTCTCGGGCTGCACACGGAGGAGGCACTGTGTGCCACACAGGCCTGCCCAGGTACTGAGTACATCTGCCCAGGGCTGGGGAGCACTGGTGAGCCTTCCAGTCCCCACCAGGGGGTCCTGGGGCACTTAACCTCATCCCAACCCACAACCCACAGAAGGCTGGTCGCTATGGTCTGAGTGGAGCACGTGCACTGAGGACGGAGCCCAAAGCCGCAGCCGGCGCTGTGAGGAGCTGGTCCTAGGGCCCAGCACCTGTGCTGGAAACAGCAGCCAGAGCCGCCCCTGCCCCTACAGCGAGATTCCCGGTAGGTCCTTGAGTTGACACCTTCACACCAGCCCTTCCCACCGTGAGCTCGCTCCCCTTCTGAAGTGTGTGTCCTGGGCTGCAGCATGAAACACGAGGGTGGGAGGCACATGCCCTTTGCCTCTGCTGAGCCTCATCCAGTAAATGGGCCAACCCTTCTTAGAAGTGGGGTCGAGACAGAGGGGAATGACAGCTCCGTGCTGACCCAGAGGTCCTCCCACAGACACATCCAGCCCTAAGGGACACCTGTCCTCCCCTCCCTGCCCTAACCCCCATCTCTGCTTGTTTCCCTGCAGTGATCCTGCCTGCCTCCAGTGTGGAGGAGACCACCGGCTGTGGAGGTAAAAGAAACGTGCCCCATGACACGACCCTTCTGTCCCCTCCTCCAGGAGGAGACCCACCTTCTCTGAAATCTAGAGTTGCTCCCCCTCCCACTTCAGACAGACAGACCTTGGGGAGGACCCCCACTGCTTTGAGGCTGGGTGTAGGGGGTTCTGGGCAGTTCCATCCATGCCGCCTAACTAGGAGCGGTCATCAAGTCTATATTCAGGAAGAGTCACTCGTCCCCACACTCTTTGGTTGCCTCCTCTGACCCAAGCCACAGGGTGTCCTGTAAGAGAGGCCCCTGGTGAGCGGCTGCCCAGCCTCCCTGTTTCCTTTATGTCTCAGAGCCTCCTGTTGGGAGGCAGTGGGGGGGGGGCGGTCTGTCCTCTTCACAGTGGCCCTTTCTTTACCACTTGGCTCTCCCTCTCCAGGGTTCAATGTCATCCACCTGGTGGCCACAGGTGTCTCCTGCTTCCTGGGCTCTGGGCTTCTGACCTTGGCAGTGTACCTGTCCTGCCAGCACTGCCAGCGCCAGACCCAGGAGTCCACACTGGTCCATCCCGCCACCCCCAATCACCTGCACTACAAGGGTGGGGGCACCCCCAAGAACGAGAAGTACACACCCATGGAGTTCAAGGTGGGAGCCCTCCTGTAGAAGCACAGGGCAGGGGGAAGAGTGCAATGGTTCTGGCCTGAGCTGGGCGTGACTGGGCTGGCCACTCCGGAGGGGGCAGTGGTGTTGTGAATAGAATGCTGTTTGCATCAGCAGTCAGAATGGTCTTTCATTGCTGTCTCCTCATCTCCTTGCCCTGGCCTGCCCTCTTTCCCCATCTCTCCCTTCACCCGCTCCTCTCTGGTTCCTTCCTTCTCCCACAGACTCTGAACAAGAATAACCTGATCCCCGACGACAGAGCCAACTTCTACCCATTGCAGCAGACCAATGTGTACACGACCACCTACTACCCCAGCCCGCTGAACAAGCACAGCTTCCGGCCCGAGGCCTCACCTGGACAACGGTGCTTCCCCAACAGCTGATACCACTGTCTGGGGACTTGGGCTCCTTGCCTTCTAAGGCACAGAGCAGGTGGAGATGGGACAATGGAGCCAGTTTGGTTTTCTCCTTCTGCACTAGGCCAAGAACTTGCTGCCTTGCTTGGTGGGGGCCCATCTGGCTTCAGAGAGCTCTGGCTGGCGGTGACCATGTGGGAGAGGACTGGCTTCAGGCTGGCACATGGCTGCAGTTCCAGCTCAACCCAGGTCTCTCATGGCCTCCTGGTGACCCACTGTCGTGCTGATCTCCCCTGCCATGTCTGCACTGCGGACCTATGGGGCATGTGAGGAATTGGAGAGTGGAGATGGCAGGGGCAGGCTCATAGGTTTGGGTTGGAAATGATGGCCGGTGTGGCCATCACGGGCCAACTCTGCCCCTCTCTGGCTGGCCCCAGGAAGGGCCTGGGATCCATCCTGATTATCTCTGAAAGAAACTAATCAGATGGCCCCGGTAGCTCTGGATTCTCTGCCCAGGGATGGGCCATCGTGGTGCTGCCCCAGTGTGACATGGGGATCAAGGCTGGCCCAGGCTGTCCACCTTTGCTTAGCAGTCTGTACTTTGCCCATGGACATCCCTCTGGTCAGAGGCAGTGAGGACTTGGGACTGGACACTGATCTTTGCTGAGAAGCCCTTTAATCTGGGCTGGCACAGGCCTCAGCCTTGCCCTCAGAATGCACGAAAGATGGCCCAGGAGAAAGGGAGGCAGGCGTCCAGCCTCCGTGCCACTATGGAGACTGTCTTCCAGTTGCTGCTCAACAGAGCTGTTGGCTGAGACCTGCTTGGGAGTCTTTGCTGGCCCCTCATCTGTTCAGGAACACACACACACACAGTCACAACCTGCTACAGCAACAAAAAGGATGTTGGGCTGTGGCATTATTATTAAAGACGATATCCAGTCTCCAAATGTAATTTTGTCTGCGTGCGTATGTGTGTGGGCTCCTCTTGGCATGGTCTTGTCAATCAGAGCAATGCACTCGGTTGGCAGATGGTCTTCTCAGGATGGAGGAAATTACCCAAGTGGAGTTTGACTTTAATAGTGGATATTTTTCCATTTGTGAGTATATTTGCACACACATCTTGCCCTAAACTTTTGGAAAAGAGATCAGGGATAAATAAATTCATAAGTAGGAACACAAGGTACACCAAGGGTAACACGACACGGGAGATTTCTGCCTGTTCCCTGGGCAGAGAATCCAGGCAACAGTTCCAGAGCAGAAATGTGTGTGTCCAGCAAAGGGGGCATTCATGAGGGTTATTTTAAGAGGTATTTAAAATACAGAGTTTAATAAAAGCAAAACTGACTGAGAAATGAGTAAACCTGTGAGGTGGGGGAAGCCCACTGTAATTTTTGCTGGATTAAATAAAAAGAACCTTAAAACCTCAGCCTGCCAAATCAATGCTGCCATTTTGGATGAGATTGATGGACATGTTCAATTTAGCAAGTGACTTCCTGACTTTTAGCTGGATCAATTCTCACAGGATTCCCAACAAAACCTACTTGTAGGTCAGGCTATAAAGCTCAAGAATCCTAGTGATAGAGGAGGCAGAGGGTCTTGGGGAGTGGAGGAGGAGGAAAAGAGGCTTCCTGGGCCTCATGTCTTGGAATCCTTCCTGCTGACTGGGACAACTGGAGGAGCAGTGTCCTCAGGCCAAGGTGGAGCCCAGTCCTAGAGAGCTCAGGGGACGTATGAGCATTTCTGCAGTTTTGGGATTCCTCACTGGGTTCCTGTTAGCCCCGTGAGTGCAGAGCTTGTTGGGGGTCTGTGGGGTGTGTTAGATCTTGGGGTCTCAGATTCCCTTGGACCTGGTAGAACCAGCGAAGTTCAAGAGTGTTCGAGGGCCCAAAGTGTCTGCTTCACAAGGGCCACTCATGTATGTCTGAGTGGAGGGTGTCAGGTCTATAGGAGGCAGTCATGGATCAGTCGCAGGTCATGCCCACCCGCTGTTGACTAGCATGGCATCGGTGGGAATGGAAAGGTATGGCAAAACACACATCGCACACACTGAATTCTCTTTCTATAAAAACTTGTATTTTTGGAGGCACGACCATTCAGAATGCGTGAAGAAATCCACACTGCATGCAGATTAGCTTGCATGGTTGACAAAGGCTACTTCCTAGCCAGCCCTGGCTGAGACATGAGGAAGCCAGGAATGTGCTCCCTGACAATGAGGGTGTGATGCTCTCTGGCAGGTGCTTGAGGCCATATGGATGGCTGTATCCACATGGTGTCAGGAAGCTGAGGTATGAAAGACAAGGGGGCTTCTTAGGCTCAGCTGGCTCAGCAAGAGAGGGAGGAAGATGCAGGATTGGGTGCTCCAGGCCTTCTTGGGCCCTCTTGTCTTTAAATAAGTCTGTGTGTGTGTGCGTGCATTTTCTTATTATTAACGTAATACATGTTCAGTGCAGAAAATTTAGAGGATATAGGGAACCAAAAATAGAATCACAATTATATTAAAAAATAAGGCAGAGACTCAGGGATTTTAAATGGCGACGTGAAGACTTTTCTAACCCCTTCTTTCAACATCACTCCAAAAGCAGAGAGAACAAAAAAACAAAAGCTCTGTCACTATTTTCAATAAAACTAGGATGTCTGTGTAATCCCAAGTCATAATACATGAAGACAGAAAGCAGAGTAACAGCATCATCTGGTAAAGTGGATGTGGGTCATACCTCAGCACCCAAGCAATTGCAGAAAGAATCCGAAATTCAAGGAACCAGGTATCAGGGAAGGTGGCGTTAAGGTGGGAGCCTGAAAAGGGGGGTTGGTTGAAAATCTGTGTGTCAGCTTCAGCTAGACCCTCAAGTTGTCTTCACTGTCAACTCTTATGGCTAGGTCACCACTCCTCTGTCTCTACAGGGGGCAATAAGTGTGGTCCCTGACACACTGAACCAGAGGCCTTGGACATGGGGACACCAGGCACAGGGCTGGGTGTGTGGTGAGGGGATGTTTGGACAACTAGGGGTTAAGAAACAGACTGCATGATTGTCCATGGGATTCGGCAGTTGCTTTTTCTAGCTAACTCCAAGACTGGCAGCCGGCTTTCTCCCCCTCCTCTTCTCCTGGGCAGGAGATTAGATGATTCTTTGAAGAAACAAATGAAACCTACAGATTCTGAAAGAATACGCCAGCTAGTCATCTGTGAAACAGCCCTACAGAGAAGTACACTCATTAACGAGCTGTGCCCAAGTACACAGAGCCCGCAGTCAGATTTCAGTGCTTCACTCTTCAATGGGATGGGCACAGACATCAGAAAAGGCGCCAACATGAAGGAAAGGCCAAGTACACAGATAAAGAGGAACTCAATGAGAACAGACGATTGAGAGATAAGAACATTTCAAAGACACCACAATTCTTCAGAAATAAGTGAAGATATTGCATTCATGAAGTAAGAACAGGGTGCAATAAAAAGGACAAGTTAAAGCTCTTAGAAATCAAAAACTATGACAGCAGGAAAAAAAATAGCACAAGTGTTTAAAGATAAAGGAAGTTTCCCAGAAAGTTGAACAAAAAGACAAAGAGATGGAAAATAGGAGAGAAAAGATAAGAAAATTAGGGAATCAATCCAGGAGGTCTAACAGCCCATTAAAAAACTAGAAGGGGGAAATTATCAAAGAAAGAATACCAATTTTGCCAGAAGCAAAGGACCAGGTCTTCAGATCAAAGGGCCTTCCCACCGCCTAGCACCATGATGAAAAAGATTTACCCTGAGGCACATAAAGGTGGCATTTCAAAACATCGGCCTTGAAGGGAAGAATACACTCCCACCAGCAGTGAATTCTCATTTTATTACTACTCACCCTAACAGCTGACACCATCCCCTCCAAGCACTGTACTAAGTGTCGTACACTGATACCCTATTCCGTTCCCACAACAGTCCTAAGAGGAAGGTACAATTATCATGTCCAATTTACAGATGAGGAAACTCTGGTTTCTTTTTTTTTTTTTTAATTTTTATTGTTTTCGGATGTACATCAGATTTCAAATTCTGGATACATTACATCATGTTCACCACCTGAACACTAATTATAGTGCATCCCCTCACATGTGACCCTAATCACCCCTTTTGCCCTCCCCCCTTCCCCAATGGTAACCACCAGTCCAATCTCCAATGCTATGTGTTTTTTTCTTTTTTAGTCGTTTTTATCTTCTACTTATGAGTGAGATCATATGGTATTTGACTTTCTCCCTCTGACTTATTTCACTCAGCATAATACCCTCAAGGTCCATCCATGTTGTCACAAATGGCTGGATTTCGTCATTTCTTATGGCTGCGTAGTAGTCCATCGTGTATAAATACCACATCTTCTTTTTCCATTCGTCCCTTGATGGGCACCTAGGTTGCTTCCAAGTCTTGGCTATTGTGTATAATGCTGCAATGAACATAGGGGTGCAAGTATCTTTATGCCTTTGTGTTTTCAAGTTCTTTGGATAAATACCCAGCAGTGGAATAGCTGGATCATATGGTAGATCTATCCTTAATTGTCTGAGGCTACTCCAAAGTGCTTTCCATAGTGGCTGCACCAGTTTGCACTGCCACCAGCAGTGAACAAGGGTTCCCTTCTCTTCACACCCTCTCCAACATTTGTTGTTTCCTGTCTTGTTAATTATAGCCATTCTGACCAGAGTGAGGTGATAGCTCATTGTAGTTTTGATTTGCATTTCCCTGATAGCTAATGATGTCGAGCATCTTTTCATATGCCTGTTGGCCATCTGTATTTCTTTGGAGAAATCTCTGTTCAGATCTTTTGCCCATTTTCTAATTGGATTGTTGGTTTTTTTGTTGTTGAGCTGTATGAGTTCTTTGTATATTTTGGATATTAACCCCTTATCTGATATGTGGTTTGCAAATATCTTCTCCCAATTGTTAGGTTGTCTTTTCGTTTTGTTGATGGTTTCCTTTGCTGTGCAGAAACTTTTTAGTTTGATGGAGTCCCATTTGTTCATTTTTTCTTTTGTTTCCCTTGTCCAGTCAGACATGGGACTTGAAAATATGCTGCTCAGACCAATGTCATAGAGCGTACTGCCTATGTTTTCTTCTAGAAGTCTCATGGTTTAGGGTCTTACATTCAAGTCTTTAATCCATTTTGAGTTGATTTTTGTGCATGGTGTAAGGGAATGGTCTACTTTCATTCTTTTGCATGTGGCTGTCCAGTTTTCCCAACACCATTTATTGAAGAGACTCTCCTTTCTCCATCATATGCTCTTGGCTCCCTTGTCGAATATTAGCTGTCCATAAACATGTGGGTTTACTTCTGGGCTCTCAATTTTGTTCCATTGATCTGTGTGTCTGTTTTTGTGCCAGTACCATGCTGTTTTGGTTACTATGGCTTTGTAGTATAATTTGAAATCGGGGAGTGTGATACCTCCAGCTCTGTTCTTTTTTCTCAGGAATCCTTTGGCTATTTGGCGTCTTTTGTTGTTCCATATCAATTTTAGGATTCTTTGTTCTATTTCTGTAAAAAATGTTGTTGGAACTTTGATAGGGATTGCGTTGAATCTATAGATTGCTTTAGGAAGTATGGACATTTTAACAATGTTAATTCTTCCAATCCAAGAGCACAGAATATCTTTCCATTTCTTTGTGTCTTCTTCGATTTCTTTCAACAATGTTTTATAGTTTTCGGTGTACAGATCTTTCACCTCTTTCGTTAAGTTTATTCCTAGATATTTTATTCTTTTTGTTGCAATTGTAAATGGGATTGTAGTCTTAATTTCTCTTTCTGCTACTTCGTTGTTAGTGTATAGAAACTCAACGGATTTTTGTACATTGATGTTGTATCCTGCAACTTGACTGGATTCCTTTATTATTTCTAAAAGTTTTTAGTGGACTCTTTAGGGTTTTCTAGATATAAAATCATGCCATCTGCAAAAAGTGACGAAACTCTGGTTTCGTACGTTTAAATAACTTGCCCAAAGTCACACAGCTAGTCAGTGAGGGAGCCAGAATTTCAACCCAGGCAGTCCATGTGCTTGTTATCAATTTGATAGTTTAACAAAAAAAACCCCAATTGTTTATATTTTCATTTTTAAATATTTAATGAGTGACTATTTCCCCCAATCTATGTGTTGGCCATTTGCATGTCTTCTTTCTAAGGGAGATGCTCTGTACCCTTTCTCTCAGGTGGTCATCTTTTCCCTATTACTTTATAGGAGCTCTTGTGTACAAAAGATATTAATCATTGGTCAAAAAGATTTAAATATTTCTCTAATTGATCCTATGCTAATTTTGAAACACAGATTTTGAATATTTTACAGAATCAGAACTACTGATTTTTAAAAATGAAAGTTGTGTTGATCTTGCATGAATGACCCTGAAATCATGAGTCTTCTCGCTGTCACCACCGTGAAGCTCAGGGATGGAGTCTGAAGGGGACACATTTCTCTCTTGTATTCCC